GATGGTGTGGACAGTGTTCGTGTTTTGCCTGTGTTCAGACATGATTACGGAGCAGGCTTGTTTTGTCTTGCTCTGCCACGGTCACAGAGTGGCCTTGTCTGATGTCGGCGTCATGTGAGATTGTTTATGTCCAGCAGGAGGACACCAGGGCCCTGCTTGGACTGCCAGGCCAGCTCCTAGCAACACCAAGGCCAGCTGTGAACACCAGGCCAGCTCCTGGGTCTGTTTCAAAGGTCGAGCTCAGACCTAGCCAGAGGGGGGACGCTGGGAGGGCTGGGCTGTGTCTGCAAAGCTCACTGCTGTATCTCTGTTGCCCAGAACAGGACCTGGCACACAGGAAGCACTCGGGCAAATGCACTGCGCTGTTCCAAGGCTGTTGGGCTCGAGAGGAGGGATCTGCTCATTCACGCAGCAGCAGGCTTTGCAGCCAGAAGCCTCTTTCCTCTGCATGTCTGCACCTTGGCTTTGGATTTTTTTTTTTTTTTAACTTTTTTAGAGATGGGTCTTGCTGACGCCCAGGCTGGAGTGCATTGGCGTGATCTCGGTTCACTGCAACCTCCACTTCCTGGATTCAATTGATTCTTGTGCCTCAGCCTCCTGAGTAGCTGGGACCACAGGCACAGGCCACTGCAGCTGGCTTGGCTTGGGTTTTTCAGCTGCGAAAACAGTGACCTCCCGGCTGGGCGCAGTGGCTCATGCCTGTAATCCCAGCACTTTGGGAGGCCGAGGTGGGCGGATTCCCCGAGGTCAGGAGTTTGAGACCAGCCTGGCCAACAGGGCGAAACCCCAGCTCTACTAAAAATATAAAATTAGCCGGGCACAGTGGTGGGTGTGCTGTAATCCCAGCTACTTGGGAGGCTGAGGCACGAGAATCGCTTGAACCTGGGAGGTGGAGGTTGCAGTGAGCTGAGATCGCCACTGCACTCCAGCCTAGGCAATAGAGTGAGACTCTGTCTCAAAACAAACAAACAAACAAACAAAAAGTTGGTTAACATCGTGAGTCATCAGGAAAAGGCAAAACAAAACCACAACGGGATACTACTGCACACCTACTATGATGGTTATCATAATCAAAAAAGGATGTTGCGAGGATGTGGCGAAACTGGAACCCTTGTGTAACGCTAGTGGGGATGGAAAATGATACCGTTACTGTGGGAAACAGTTGGGCAATTACTCAAAAAGTTCAACAGAGTTAGCAAATGACCCAGCAACCCCACTTCTAGGTATGGACCCAAAGGAACTGAATCCAGGGACTGCAACTACATATTCACGAATGTTTCTAGTTGTACTTATTCATGATCATTAAAAGGCAGAAACAGCCCAAAGGACCATCAGCTGATGCGTGCATAAACAAAATGTGGTCCATCCACATGGCGCAATGTTATACAGCTGCAAGTGGAATGAAATTCTGATACATACTGCAACTTAGATGAACCTCAACACCATTATGCTCAGCTGGGTGCGGTGGCTCACACCTATTATCCCAGCACTTTGGGAGGCCAAGGCAGGAGGATCCCTTGAGTCCAGGAGGTTGAAGCCTGGTGAACATAGCGAGACCCCATCTCTACAAAAGAAAAATTTTAAAAATTGCCCAGATGTGGTGGCGTGCACCTGTAGTCCCAGACAATGTGGAGGCCGAGGCAGGAGGATCTCTCAAGCCCAGGAGTTCGAGGCTGCAGTGAGCTATGATCGCACCATTGCACTCCAGCCTCGTGACAGAGCAAGACCCTGTCTCAACAACAAAAAGCAAATATCAAAACAGCCCATTATGCTTGGTGGAAGAGGCCAACACATATGGTCACATATTGTATGATTCCATTTGTATGAAATATCAAGAAGGCCAGGAATAGTGGCTCATGCCTGTAATCCCAGCACTTTGGAAGGCCGAGGCGGGCAGATCCCTTGAGGTCAAGAGTTCAAGACCAGCCTGGCCAACATCGTGAAATCTGTCTCTACTAAAAATGCAAAAATTAGCTGGGTGTGGTGGCACGCACCTGTACTCTCAGCCACTTGGGAGGCCGAGGCAGGAGAATTGCTTGAACCCGGGAGGCAGAGGCTGCAGTAAGCTGAGATCGCGCCACTGTACTCCAGCCTGGGCAACAGAGTGAGATTCTGTCTCAAAAAAAAAAAATCAAGAAGAGGTAAAAATAGAGACAGCAGAGAATGCAGATTAGTGGTTGCAGGGGCTGGGAGGAGGGAGGAATTGAGTGATTGCTTTATGGGAACAGGGTGTAGAGGAGGAAAAATACTTTTTGCTTTATTCTTAATTCTTAGCTGTGATGGATCCTTGCAATGAAAGAATTAACAGGGGCAGGCACAGTGGTTCACGCCTGTAGTTCCAGCACTTTGGAAGGTCGAGGTGGGAAGATTGCTTAAGCCCAGGGCTCAAGGCCAGCCTTGGTAACACGGTGAGACTCCATTTCTACAAAAAATAAAAAGAAATTAGCCACTCGTGGTGGTGGACACCTGTGGTCCCAGCTACTCAGGAGGCTGAGGTGGGAGGATCGCTTGATCCCAGGAGTTCAAGGCTGCAGTGAGTTAAGATCGTGCCACTGCACTCTACCCTTTTTTGTGGGTAGTTGGTCATGCTACCATGGGGCAGAATGTAGCAAGCTCTGGGGATCATCCTGGGTCCTCGGACCCAGAGAGCACACATGTGGTGGCCTCACATCTACACATTTGGTTCCTCCCAGAGTGAGACCCTGTCTCAAAAAAAAAAAAAAAAAAAAAAAAAAAGAATTAACAAGGGAAAAACAAATTTATTAACATGTATACCTTATGTATACATGGGAGATGCCAAGAGAAATGAGGTGGCTTATATAGCTTATATAACTCCTGCTTAGATAGCACTTTCTTTTTTTTTTTTTTTTTTTTTGAGACGGAGTCTCGCTCTGTCGCCCAGGCTGGAGTGCAGTGGCCGGATCTCAGCTCACTGCAAGCTCCGCCTCCCGGGTTCACGCCATTCTCTGGCCTCAGCCTCCTGAGTAGCTGGGACTACAGGCGCCCGCCACCTCGCCCGGCTAGGTTTTTTTTTTTGTATTTTTTAATAGAGATGGGGTTTCACCGTGTTAGCCAGGATGGTCTCGATCTCCTGACCTCGTGATCCGCCCGTCTCAGCCTCCCAAAGTGCTGGGATTACAGGCGTGAGCCACCGCGCCCGGCCTTAGATAGCACTTTCAACATAGAGCAGCAAATGTTGGGAGAAGTGACAAGACGAAGGAAAAAGACATTGAGGCCGGGTGCAGTGGCTCATGCCTGTAATCCCGGCACTTTGGGAGGCCGAGGCGGGGAGATCACTTGAGGCCAGGAATTTGAGACCAGCCTGGCCAATGTGGTGAAACCCCGACTCTACCAAAAATACAAAAATTAGCCGGGCACAGTGGTGCACACCTGTGATCCTAGCTACTCGGGAAGCCGAGGCAGGAGAATTGCTTGAACCAGGGAAGCAGAGGATGCAGTGAGCAGAGATGGCGCTACTGCACTCTAGGTTTGGGAACAGAGCAAGACTCCCTCTCAAAGAAAAAAAAAAAAGGCCGGGCGCGGTGGCTCAAGCCTGTAATCCCAGCACTTTGGGAGGCCGAGACGGGCGGATCACGAGGTCAGGAGATCAAGACCATCCGGGCTAACACGGTGAAACCCCGTCTCTACTAAAAAAATACAAAAAATTAGCCGGGCGTGGTGGCGGGCGCCTGTAGTCCCAGCTACTCGGGAGGCTGAGGCAGGAGAATGGCGTAAACCCGGGAGGCGGAGCTTGCAGTGAGCTGAGATCCGGCCACTGTACTCCAGCCTGGGAGACAGAGCGAGACTCCGTCTCAAAAAAAAAAAAAAAAAAAAAAAAAAAGAAAAAAAAAAAAAGACGTCTCAGACAAGAGTCTAAAGGTGTCCCTGGTGATAAATCAACCTTTGTCCTTCCCGGTAGAGAGGGGAGGAGGGCACCTTTGTACATTTAGGTCCTGCTTTGAGGCAAATCAGGGAAAAGCAGAGAGCTTTTCCAGTATCAGCTCCATTGATCTCAGCTCAAAATAATCCTATACCAAAGTCGCGTATTTCAGAGTGGCATATGCTGGTCTCCTACGGGGGTCTCTTTTCAGGGTGATAAAAATACTCTGAAACTAGCAAAGGGTGATGGTTGTACAACATGGGCATGTACTAAATGTCATTGAATTGTGCATTTTTATTTTTATTTATTTATTTATTTTGAGGCAGAGTCTCGCTCTGTCGCCCAGGCTGGAGTGCAGTGGCCCGATCTCGGCTCACTGCAAGCTCCGCCTCCCGAGTTCACGGCCATTCTCCTGCCTCAGCCTCCCAAGTAGCTGAGACTACAGGCGCCGGCCACCATGCCTACTTATTTTTTTGTATTTTTAGTAGAGATGGGGTTTCACTGTGTTAGCCAGGATGGTCTAGATCTCCTGACCTCGTGATCCGCCCACCTGGGCCTCCCAAAGTCCTGGGGTTACAGGCGTGAGCCACCGAGCCCGGTCTTATTTTTTATTTATTTTATTTTTTGAGACGGAGTCTCTCTCTCTCCCAGGCTGGAGTGCAATGGCCTGATCTTGGCTCACTGCAACCTCCGCCTCCAGGGTTCAACCGATTCTTCCGCCTCAGCCTCCCAAGTAGCTGGGATTACAGGCGCCGGCCATCATGCCTGGCTAATTTTTTTTTTTTTTTTTTTTTTTTTTTTTTTTTTTTTTTTTTTGTATATGTGTAGGGATGGGGGTTTCACCATCTTGGCCAGGCTGGTCTCGAACTCCTGACCTCAGGTGATCCTCCCAAAGTGCTGGGATTACAGGAGCGAGCCAACGCGCTTGGCCAAACATTGTGCATTTTTAAATGGTTAATTTCATCTTGTGCGAATTTTACCTCAATAACAAACAAAAACGGGTGAAAATGGTATTTGACTTTTTTTCCACGAGATGATACAAGCATATTGCACAAAATTTAACAGCTACAAAATGGCATAAAGGTGAAAATGTAATATTTTCCCCAATCACGCGGGTTACCTTTTCTGGAGAAAATCCAGTTACAGTTCTTGTGCATTCTAGAACAATTCTATGCATTTCCTTAACGTCGAAAGATGCCTTGTTGTGATATTACAGCAGTCATTCCTGCTCACCACAAGCAAGCAGACAGTGCAGAAAAGGTGAAGCACAAAAATTAAAAAGGAAAATCTCTCCTTGAGCCATTGCTAACAGGTTGGTGGTTTTGCTTGGAGTATTTTGGGAGCGTGTGGGTAGTTGGTTAAACTTGGAAATATACTTTTTTGTGCGTGGGTAGTTGGCCAAACCGCCGTGGGGCAGAATGCAGCAAGCTCCGAGGATCATCCGGGGTCTGCAGGCTTGGAAAGCACACACGTGTCGTCCCCACCTCTGCAAACTCTGTCCCTCCCCTACAGCGGACAAGAAGCCGGACCGGGGACAAAGGCCTGCGACCGCGCCTGCGCGCAGGCCTTTGGGGCGCTCCCGGGACCCCGGCCTGGCCCCGCCCCCTGGTGCGACGCGCCGACGTCGCGGTGACGTCACGGAGTTGCCATGGCGTCGCTGAGCGGCCTGGCGTCGGCGCTGGAGTCGTACAGGGGCCGGGACCGCCTGGTGAGGCAGGGGCGGACCGGGGCCGGAGGGCCTAGAGTTTGGCCCAAGCTCAGAGACGGGGAAACAGGCCAGAGAGGGGAAAGAGTCGCCCAAGATACTCCGTCGCAGAGGCCGCGTCCGAGCTAGGCTCAAACGCGGTGACCTAGCATTGGACATTTATTTATTTATTTAGGCTGGAGTGCGGTGACCGGATCTCAGCTCACTGCAGCCTCCGCCTCCCGGGTTCAAGCGATTCTCCTGCCTCAGCCCCCCGAGTAGCTGGGACTACAGGCGCCCTCCACCACGCCCTGCTAATTTTTTGTAATTTTAGTAGAGACGGGGGTTTCACCGTGTTAGCCAGGATGGTCTCGATCTCCTCACCTCAAGTGATCCTCCTGCCTCGGCCTCCCAAAGTGCTGGGATTACAGGCGTGAGCCACCGCGCCCGGCCAACGTTGGACATTAAGATCATTTCTGTCAACCCAGCCTGGCCGGACATTGACACACTGGCCAGATTCTCGTGTTTGGACGTTTTGGATCTGACCAGGCCACTGAAGTCAGTCCCTGCGTTGTCCTGAACAATCTCATGTTGGGATTTGGGGTGTTGCAGGGCTCCCTTGTGGCTGGACATTCATTTCCAACCAGATCACCTATAGGTGGGCATTTAGGTTTTTTCAGCCAGCGTAGACCAAAGAACCCACCGTGTCCTGGACCCTGCCATGGCTAAGCAGTGATGGATTCCAACAAAACCCCAGTTGGTCATTTAGATCGTTTGCACCAACCCAGCCTAGCTGGACGTTTACATACCAAACAGATTCCCATGTTTGGACATTTAGGATCTGACCAGGCCACTGTAGTTGATCGCTGGATTGTCCCAAACAATCTCATGTGGGGATTTAGGATATTGTAAGACTCTCCCTATGGCTAGACAGTTTTAAGTTCCAATCAAGTCCCATATGGTTGAGCATTTAGGTTATGCCATCCATGTCCCTGAGTCTGGACTCTTAGCTTGTCCCCACTGGTCTCTTATAGGTAGACATTTAGATTGTACTAGGGGGTGTACCACTAGGCATTTAGATTCCATTCAAATCTCATGACTCGGTGTGGGGGGGGTTAACAAATCCCCCCCGAGTTAGACATTCAAATTGCAGTGTTTTGCCGTTATAATGGGCTGGAAAGGAATTACAAGTAAAAATAAAACAACAGGAACAAGCAATTTCTGAAAAGCAGGTAAAATAAAGATATAAGGGAGGCCGGGCATGATGGCTCACGCCTGTAATCCTAGCACTTTGGGAGGCTGAGGTGGGTGGATTGCCTGAGCTCAGGAGTTTGAGACCAGCCTGGACAACGTCTGTACTAAAATACAAAAATTAGCCAGGTGTAGGCCGGGCACGGTGGCTCATGCCTGTAATCCCAGCACTTTTGGAAGCCGAGGCGGGTGGATCACGAGGTCGGGAGATCGAGACCATCTTGGCTAACATGGTGAAACCCTGTCTCTACTAAAAATACAAAAAATTAGCCGGGCGTGGTGGCGGCCACCTGTAGTCCCAGCTACTCGGGAGGCTGAGGCAGGAGAATGGCGTGAACCTGGGAGGTGGAGCTTGCAGTGAGCCAAGATGGCGCGACTGCACTCCAGCCTGGGCGACAGAGCTAAACTCCGTCTCAAAAAAAAAAAAAAAGAAAAAAGCTGGGTGTGATGGTGGGTACCTGTAGTCCTAGCTACTCGGGAGGCTGAGGCAGGAGAATTGCTTGAACCTGGGAGGCAGAGGTTGCAGTGAGCTCATACCTCTGCACTCCAGCCTGGGGAACAGAGCGACACTCTGTCTCCCAAAAAAAAAAAAAAAAGAAAGATATAAGAGTAGTGAAGATGACTTACTTCACAAGGCTCCAAATCACCTCCTGAGTAGGTTCTTTCTCTCTAAAGTAATTCAACCAAATTATCCTATTGTTCACTGGGTTGAAACCTGTTCACCTGCACCCAGCGTTCAGCACAGCCAAAGGCTTTGGTCCAGGCAGGTAAATGTAAATATACACTTTAGCTGCAGCTTCCTGACACCTGGGAAAAGAAGGACCTGGGAGGTGGGAAGTAAGGAGTTTTGTTTTCTTTGTTCCTGTCACATCTGTCCCCAAAGGCTGTGCCCTTCAGTTACATGAGCAGGCACTCCTCACAGCACCTTTGGATAATTATGTTATGTTTCTTCATTTGTCCCACCTACAAGTATGTTTTTAAACTTTCAGCTTTTTTTTTTTTTTGAGACTAGGTCTCGCTCTGTCACCCAGGCTGGAGTGCAGTAGCACGATTAAAGCTTGCTGCAGTCTGGAACTCCTGGGCTGAAGTGATCCTCCAGCATCAGCCTCCCAAGTAGCCACCATGCCCTAAAAAAATTTTAGTAGAGACAGGGCCTTGCTATGTTGCCCAGGCTGGTCTCAAACTCCTGGTCTGAAGGCATCCTCTCACCTCTGTCTCTCAAAGTGCTGGGGTTAGAGGCATGAGCCACTGTCCCCGACCTACACTTTCAGCTTTTACTGTCACTTTGTGGATTTAGAAGTTTCCAGACCCTTGGGTCAGGCACCGTGTCTCATGCCTGTAATTCCCACACTTTGGGAGGCTAAGGCAGGTGGATCACTCGAGGTCATGAGTTTGAGACCAGCCTAGCCAACATGGCAAAACCCTGTCTTTACAAAAAATACAAAAATTAGCGGGGTGTGGTGGTGGGCGTCTGTAATCCCAGCTACTTAGGAGACCAAGGCACAAGACTCACTTGAACATGGGAGGTGGAGGCGGCAGTGAGCCAAGATGGCGCCACTGCACTCCAGTCTGGACGTCAGAGTGAGAGACTCTGTTTCAAAAAGAATCTTCCACAGTGTCAATCCAGTGGGGCCCTGGCCAGGTCGGGGGAGATGCAGCTCAGTTCTGCAGAACAGGAGGGCCACGCTGACTGCTTCTGGTTTCCCACAGATCCGAGTGCTGGGGTACTGCTGCCAGCTGGTTGGTGGGGTCCTGGTTGAACAATGTCCCACCAGGTCCGAAGTGGGGACACGTCTGTTGGTGGTGTCCACCCAACTCAGCCACTGCAGGACCATCTTGCGACTCTTTGATGACCTGTCCATGTTTGTCTACACTAAGCAATACGGCCTGGGGGCACAGGTAACAGGGTTTGTGGGGCTCTAGGGAATACGGCGTGGATCTGAGTGGACATTTAAAAAAACTTTTTTGGCCCCTCATGGTGGCTCATGCCTACAATCCCAGCACTTTGGGAGGCCAAGGTGGGCAGATCACGAGGTCAGGAGTTTGAGACCAGCCAGGCCAACACGGTAAAACCCTGTCTCTACTAATAATACAAAAATTAGCCGGGCGTGGTGGCACACGCCTGTAGTTCCAGCTACTTGGGAGGCTGAAGCAGGAGAATCGCTTGAATCTGGGAGGTGGAGGTTGCCATGAGCCAAGATTGCACCACTGCACTCCAGCCTGGGTAATGGAGTGACTCCATCTCAAACAAAAAAAAGAAAATTTTTTTTTTAGAAACAGGGTCTTGCTCTGTCATCCAGGCTGTAGTGCAGTGGCAAGATCATAGCTCACTGCAGCCTTGAACTCCTAGGCTCAGGTGGTCCTCCTGCCTCAGCCTCCCTGAGTGCTGGGATGACAGGCGTGAGCCACCATGAGCGTTTTATAGTCTTGTCCCAAAGTGCTCCCTGCGTGGGTAAGTTTATTACTTTTAAAAATTTCACTTTCTTCTTTGAGAGGATCAGATGTTCTCGTTATGATTTCAATTTTTAAAAATAGCAAACATGTTCACACGTTCCAAAGGGGGATATAATTTAAAAAACCTCCCTCCTTCCTGATCTTCCAGGCCTCCAATTTTTCCCCACAGAGGCACCCACCATGGTCAGCTTCTTTTTTTTTTTTTGAGACAAGGTCTCACTCTGTCACCCAGGCTGGAGTGCAGTGGCGTGATCTCGGCCCACTGCAACCTCTACCTCCGGTGGCAATGATTTTTCTGCCTCAGCCCCTCACGTAGCTAGGATTACAGGCACCCCCATCATGCCTGGCTAATTTTTGTATTTTTAGTAGAGATGGGGTTTTGCCATGTTGGCCAGGCTGGTCTCGAACCCGTGACCTCAAGTGATCCACCTGCCTTGGCTTCCCAAACTGCTGGGATTACAGGTGTGAGCCACCGTGCCTGGTCCTGTGGTCAGCTTCTTGTGTCTCCTTTGTGAGATTTCCTGTACTTGCATAGGCAGATACATATGGTTTACATAAATAGTGCTTTTTTCATTTAACAGTACAACTCGGGCATCATTTCTTTATCTTTCTTTTTTTCTTGGAGACAGGGTCTCACTCGGTCACCCAGGCTGGAGTACAGTGGCGTGATCATGGCTCACTGAAGCCTTGACTTCCCGGGCTCAGGTGATCCTCCTACCTCAGCCTCCCAAATAGCTGGGACTACAGGTGCACCACCACACCTGGTTAATTTTTTGCATCTTTTGTAGAGACAGGGTTTTGCCGTGTTGCCCAGGCTGGCCTTGAACTCCTGGGCTCAAGTAATCCACCTGCCTCGACCTCCCAAAGTGCTGGGATGACAGGCGTAAGCCACCGTGCCCGGCCACAGATCATTTCTTATCAGTCTAGAAAGAGCTCCGTTCTCAGGACCACATAGTGCTCTGCTATGCAGATTCAGATTTATTTAACCGGCCTCCGGCTGACGCACAGGGCAATGATTTCTAAGGTTTTGCTATTGCGACAGTGTGCAGAGAGTAGCCTTGTCCCTGCGGTGTCCCACAGGCGTGCCAGCCTATCTAGAGGGCCATCTTGCCCCCCAGGGGATGATCTCAAGAGGGTGCATGGGCCAGCCTCTCAGGGTCATGCCCCTGCCTGGGCTGCCCTGTCTGTTCTCTCTGTCCTCCCGGGGATCACCCCGCTGAGCCACTTGCTACTCAGATGCTCCCCGCCCCGAACCCCCAAGCCCAGCCCGTTCAGCTCCACGTGTCCTTGGCCCGATCATCCCACATCACCAGTGTTGCTCTGGGCCGCCTTCCTGTTTTGACACCTGTGGCGTCCTCCTCCTCCGTGTCTGATTAGGACAAAGCTCTGGTGCATCCCTGATACCCCTCCCTCCTCTGTCTTGTCTGTGGAAGAGCCCTCAGGCAAGGGGTGGGGGCCCTTGCACCTCGAGTGTCCCTTGGCCAGAACAAGAGCCCCCTTTGTTGGGTTTCCGGTTTATATGTCTGTGTTCCTCCCTGCCCTGGTGAGCCTCTGCCCCTCCCCAGCGTCTAGCCTGGACCCCGCGGCTTCTCAGGAAACCCGGGTGGAATGAGCGCATTGGGGCGGGGTCCGCCATCCTCAGGGAGGTGGGAAATGTACCAGGACGCGCCAGGCAGATGAGGGAAGCTGGAGTGAGGTTCAGAGCCCAGAGGAAGGCAGGATAGTGTCTGGCCAGAAAGAAGGAGAGCAGCATCAGCAATCAGCGGTGGGGCGGGGAGGAGCTTCCTGGGAAGTCAGAGAGGAGGGGAAGGGTGTGGCAGGCAACAAGGAAGGTGAAGGTAGAGGGGGCGGGGCCCCCGTTGGCTGCGGGGCTCCAATCCCAGAAACCAGGCTTTAGCGCTGTGGTCCTACAGCCTCCACTGGTCATGGCTCGCTGGCTGTAGGCGGTGGTTAAGAACTTGGGGCAGAGGGTATGGGCGGCGTGCAGCACCGAGAGCCCGCGTGTGCATTGCAATTTGAGGGCCTGGAGGACCATCCCTGCTGGAACTGGGACCAGCAGCTTTCCCTGAGAGCCTCAGCATGGCTGTCTGTAACGGGGGACAGTAACTTGCTCGGGGTTGAGGGAGGCCATGAGTCTACAGCACTGTGCCTGGCGCGTGCTCAGCACTAGGCGTGCGGTGGCCCACGGGTTGGCACACCATCTCAGCCTGGTCAGGGTTCCCTGCGGGCCACCTCTCATGCTCCCTGCGTAGAGTCTGGCATCAGAGGTCCTTGCCTGTGCGGGAACTGGAAGCCTTTGGGAAGGAAGGTTCTGACACAGGGGTCCCAACGTGGCCGTACCTGGGAATCCCCTGGGAATGTGAAAATTCCTTGTGAAAATTCCTGGTGCTGGCGCCTGCCCCAGGCTGAGTGAGGCAGAATCCTCACAGCTGGCACTGGGCATGGGGTTTTTGGAACTCCGCAGAGGATTGCACTGCACAGATGCGTTGAGACCCTCCCTTCAGGGGGCCCTGAACACCATGCTGCCGAGACACAGAAATCAGGCCTGTGCGGGGACCCCAGCCCCAGAGCCTTTCTCCTGCAGGGCCTGCCAGGCCTGGACACGGCCCAGGGACTGGGGGCAGGAAATAGCTCTCTGCTTCCTGGCATGGCTACGGTGCTAAAATGAGCAGTGGGTAAGTCTGACCCTAGGCCCCCTCTGCTCCTGGTCCTGCAGGAGGAGGACGCCTTTGTCCGCTTGGTCTCCGTCCTAGGGAACCTGGCCGACCAGCTCTACTACCCATGTGAGCACGTCGCCTGGGCGGCTGATGCCCGGGTCCTCCACGTGGACTCTTCCCGGTGGTGGACGCTGAGTACAGCCTTGTGGGCCCTCTCTCTGCTCCTGGGAGTTGCCAGGTAAGTGGCACGGGCCAGAAGGCAGCACCCAAGGTCCCTGGGCGGGACCTCCTTAGCAAAACAGCAGCAGCCCCAGCAACAGCACAGGCTTCAGACTGAGGCATGTGGGTCTTTGCCTCTTAGAGTTTTCCTTGGAGGTTTTGTTGTTTCTTCCTTTTGTGGATGTATTTGTTTAGAATAACTGCTGAAACAAATTACCACAACGTTATAGCGCTGGGCAACAGAAACTTACTATCTTAGGTTCTGAGGCTGGAAGTCGGAACACTTCCTGGGCTAGTGTCAGCAGGCGCTGATGCCTTCTGGAGGCCCCAGGGGGAGGTCCGTTTCCTTGGATTTTCCAGCTTCTAGAGGCCACCCACATTCCTTGGCTCATGGTCCCTTCCTTCATCTTCCAAGCATGACCTCTGCTTTCAGGGTCACACCTCCTTCGCTGACCCTCATCCTCCTTCCTCCCTCCTGTAAGGACCCCTGTGATGACATAGGGACCAACTAGATGATCCAGGGTAATACCCCATCTCAAGATCCTAGGCTTAGGTTGGGCGTGGTGGCTCATGCCTGTAATCCCAGCACTTTGGGAGGCCAAGGTGGGCGAGGAGCCCAGGAATTCTAGACCAGCCGGGCCAACATGGTGAAACCCGTTCTCTACTAAAAATACCAAAAATTAGCTGGGCTTGGTGGCACACACTTGTAATCCCAGCTACTTGGGAGGCTGAGGCAGGAGGATTGCTTGAATTTGGGGAGGCAGAGGTTGCAGTGAGCCGAGATCACATCCCTGCACTCCAGCCTGGCAACAGAGCAAGATTCCGTGTCAAAAAAAGAAAAAAATCCTTAGCTTAATCCATCGGCAAAGCCTCCTTTGCCTTAGAGGTAAACATGTTCACAGGCTCAGGGCATGGCCATTTTTGGAGGGGCCATGACTCTGCTGACTATACCCAGAAAGAAGAAGTAACTCTAGGGCCTGTGAGAAGCAGCCAGCGGAGTGACCTTTTCCCGGGTCCCTGAGTCCTGCTGGCATTGCTGTCAGCTGCCACCCCGGAGAAGACAGTCAGCAGTTTCCTGACTAGCTCTGTGCCTCCAAAAACGATACAGTTTCTAGAACTTTCCAGTAATGGTTTCCTCCCAAACATTTTCCTCTTTGCAAATGTGCTGAGTCAGAATCCCCGGCCCCTGTAAACACCAGGAGGAGCTGGGCGCCCTGGTCTGCATGTTTCAGTGGTTGTGAAGGGCTCTTAGATCACCGGGCTGAGGTGCGGCTATCCCAGCCTCGGGGTAGGCTGTGTCGTTGGTTCTGGGGGAAGCATTTGCTTTTCCCTGGGTGAGGTTCTGACTCTCAGTAGTTCTCGTTTCCCCCCGACACAGATGTCCTAATTACATGCTTACTGTAGACAATCTGGAAAATGGATAAACCTCAGAGTAGAAGATTTGAATCACCCACAACCCAACCCAGAGACTCCCACTGTTCAAGCTTCGGTGGTTCTTTTCCAGCCTTTGACCTAAAACCCTGTCTACGCGTTTCGACTGTCTCAAAAGGGTCATGTTTCATGGCCATGGACCCTGGAGGCCGCAGTGTCTGTGGTGCTGGCCTTCCTCATGTCCTGGCACACCCGGGGAAGGGTGCCTGGGCCCAGCCCGGATGCTCCTGGGGCTCAGGTCAGAGCGGGGCTTTGGCTTACAGCCCCTCTTCCTCCACCTTCCTCTGGGTGCCTCGTGACCTCTGGTTTGTATTTTAGGGGCAGCCTTGGTTCCTTTCTTTTTTGCTTAAATAAGCTTTTTTTTTTTTTTTTGAGACAGGCTGGAGAGCAGTGGCTCAATCTTGACCCACTGCAACCTCCGCCTCTTGGGCTCAAACAATCCTCCAGCCTCAGCCTCCTGAGTGGCTGGGACCACAGGCATGTGCCACCATACCTGGCTAACTTTTGTAATTTTCTTTTTAGAGATGTGGTTTTGCCATGTGGCCCAGTCTGGTCTCCAGCTCCTGGGCTCAGGTGATCCCCCTGCCTCAGCCTCCCAAAGTGGTGGGATTACAGGCGTGAGCCACCACACCCAGCCCAGACTTTATTTTTTTAGAGCAATTTTAGGCTCACAGCAGAATTGAGTATAACATTCAGAAAGCTCCCATATACCCCCAACCCCTCCCCTAGACAGCCTCCCCAACTACTGGCACCATCCCCATGGTGCATTTGTTACAACTGATGCCCCTCCATGGATCCACCATCACCCTGAGTGCATAGCTCACGTTAGGGTTCACGCTAGGTTTTGGGCATCCTATGGGTTTGGACGCTGACACGTGTCCCCCATTGCAGTATCAAATGGAATTGTTGCACGGCCATCAACGTCCTCTGTGCCCTGCCTGCTGCGGCATTCTTGTTTCGGGCATGTGGTTTTTCATCATTTCTCTGGGTTTGGGGTGAGCAGGGGGAGTGGGTGGAGAGCATTCCATGTGTGCTCATCATGACCAGACATCTGCCCTAAGGCCCAGGCTGCCAGAGCATTAGCTAGCAGGTTGCTAAATGGAGATGCCTGGGTCCAGTGCCCAGGGCTTCTGATTCTTTTTCTTGAGACACAGTCTTCCTCTGTTGCCCAGGCCGGAGTGCAGTGGTGTGATCTTGGCTCACTGCAAACTCCGCCTCCCGGTTTCAAGTGATTCTCCTGCCTCAGCCTCCCGAGTAGCTGGTATTTCAGGCGCCTGCCACCACCCCCGGCTAATTTTTGTATTTTTAGTAGTGACGGGGGTTCACCATGTTGGCCAGGCTAGTCTCAAACTCCTGACCTCAGGTGATCCGCCTGCCTTGGCCTCCCAAAGTGCCAGGATTACAGGTGTGAGCCACTGTGCCTGGACTAGAACTTCTGATTCTGTGGGTCTAGGGAGCCCAGGAATCAGTGTTTTGCCCTAGCCCCCCAGGAGGCTCCCACCTGCTGTACCACTGGTGCTACCCTGCATCCTGCACCCTGGGTACCTGGTGGCCAGAGATGTGACCAGGCCCTGCCCATTCTAGTCAGGAGGTCACAGTCACAACCTGGCACACCCCACTGCCGAGGCTGGAGAGTGCAGGTGCCTGGTGGACCGGCCCGGGTGGGTGCCATGCATGGCTACAGAGTCCCCTGGGAGCACAGAGGCTGCCCACTGGGTAGCCCCTTCCTCAGCCTGCAGATGCCAGCCCTGGGGGCCCAAGGGATCATCCAGATAGATCCAGCCAATGTCCAGGGTGTGTGTGCAGGGGACGCTGGCATGGCACTGGTTTGGGCCTTTCCATACAGAGCAGGCGAGGCAGCTGAGGCCCGGAGGGGAAGTGGCGTCCCCAGGCCTGTCCAACTGCAGGCCCCTTGGCATCCTCTTCTGTCTAGGACTCCCTGCCAGGCTGTGAACACCTCACGGGGCTTGATGTTCCTTTGAGCACTTGCCAGCGGTTTGCAGAGGCTGGGCCAGGCCCTGGATGGCCATGTCAGAAGCGCAGGACGATGTCCAGGGTGGGACGGGGCCATGTTAGGGATGAGTCCCCGGGAGTTTGAGGCACAGCGGGAGGGCGTGGGACTGTGGGGGCAGGGAGAGGGCAGGCCATTTATTCGAGATGCAGCACCTGTCCCAGACTGTCTGTCTGGGGCCAGCGTTGCGGAGCTAACCCTCCTGCTCCACCCCCCGGGGCATCCTCCCTCGGGCTCTGGTGCTGCAGGTCCCTGTGGATGCTGCTGAAACTGAGACAGAGGCTGCGGAGCCCCACGGCGCCCTTCACCAGGTAGGAGCCCGCGATTACCCAGCAGGAAGGCCCACTCCCTCCAGCAGGCGTGGGATCCCGGCTCAGAGCTACCCCTGTGCAGGCCCGTGCTGGGGTCTGTTGTGCTCAGGTCATGGTGGTCTCACTGCAGCCTCTGGTGGGTGGCGGTACCTTTGACAGATGGGGAAACTGAGGCTTGCTTGAGTGAGGACTCCAGGGCTGAGCCTTCATGGCTGTGCCCCCAGCAGGAGAGAATGATCAATTTCCCGAGGGCCATGGCCATTGTTAGTGTTGCTTTTTCTTTTTTGAGATAGGGCCTTGCTCTGTCGCTCAGGCTGGAGCACAGTGGTGCCATCTCGGCTCACTGCAACCTCCGCCTCCCGGGCTCAACTGATCCTCCTGCCTCAGCTTCCCGAGTAGCTGAGACTACAGGCACGTGGCACCATGCCTGGCTGATTCTGGTATTTATTTTTTGGTGGGGATGGGGTCTCGCCACATTGGCCAGGCTTGTCGTCACTGTGTCATCCTGAAAAAGAAAGGCTGGGCAGGCACAGGCCACACTCCTGGGGTTCCCCCTTGCCTCCATAGCACTCCCAAAGTGCATTTGTGCTGTTTTTTACAAGGAACCCCCATCTCCGGGTGTTCAGGAGGAGTGAGGTGTGGATTTGAGGACTTGGACCCAGGTCCCTGCCCTGTTTGTGCTTGGGCCGTGGGGGTGATGGGGACTCAGTCTCTGTGGAGGGTCACGGAGGCCACCTCGGCCCTGCCAGCTCCTCCCACTCACAGGCAGGGGCTCAGGGCTGCCAGGCCACACAGGGCCTTCGGGGGTTTGGGAAGGGCAGGCAGGCAGGTGTGAGCGTGAGCGTGAGTGTGAGTGGCTCCTCTCTGCCCCACAGCCCGCTGCCCCGGGGCAAGCGGAGGGCCATGGAGGCGCAGATGCAGTCGGAAGCACTGTCACTTCTCAGCAACCTGGCCGACCTGGCCAACGCCGTGCACTGGCTGCCCCGGGGCGTGCTGTGGGCCGGCCGCTTCCCGCCATGGCTGGTGGGCCTCATGGGCACCATCTCCTCGATCCTCAGCATGTACCAGGCGGCCCGGGCCGGCGGCCAGGCCGAGGCCACTACCCCCTGACACTGCCAGAAGAGCACAGGGACGCAGCCGGAGCCCACGGAGGGCCCTTCCTGCAAAGCAGAAGCCAGCAGGGCAGGAGCCGGGGCTCTCGTGGAGCTGCCTGTGGCAAAACCCATGGGCAGGGTGGGTGGAGGGACTGATGCGAGGTCTCGCGGGCCTCAGCCCTGAGCTCCTGAGCTGGAGTTTTCAGGGGCTGCGGGGGGCTTCAGCGGCACCTCCTGCCTGCCAGCTGGAGTTTTGTATCCAAATCAAGAGGAGGAGGAGGGAGCCTGTCGTGCCTTGGGAAAGCTGGGACGGGAATCAATTAAACATTGTGGTGCTGGCGCCTGGCTCAGGGTGAAGGTTATTACACTGGTGGCTCCTGGCCCCTTCCCCTCCATGGGATGGAGCCACAGTTGGAAACCACACTTCCCCAGCCCACCTTCAGGAATGCCCTCGGCCCGGTGGGTCCTCTCCGTCTTGGAGCAAGCGTTGCCTACGGACCCCAAGTGGCCTCCAGCCATTGAGGGCTGTTCTCTACTCCCCAGAGTCCTGGGCACACGGCCAGAGGTACCACCTCCGGTCAGGCCACCTGAGGGCATGGCCTCATGCCGCTGTGCTGCAGACGCAGGGTCACTGTGAGCGTTTTGAGGGCTCCAGGCTGAGACTGGGCAACACACACCGATAGACACGTGGGGCCTCCACGTCAGCCAGTGTGTGGTGGGATGGGATGAGGGTACTTCTTAGTCTGCTGGCTGAGAACGACGCCTCAGAGTCCGTGCACATGTGGCTTCTGGCAGACATTGGTGCACAGCCTGGCCCAGGAATACACAATAGTCAGTATGTGTGCCCTCGGGCCTCGTGATATCAATTGCACTGCCTTGATTTTTGTCTTTTTGACACAGGATCTCACTCTGTCACCCAGGCTGGAGTGCAGTGGTGCGATCATAACCTCACTGCAGCCTCGAACTTCTGGGCTCAAGGGATCCTCCTACCTCAGCCTCCTGAATAGCAGGAATTACAGGCATTTATCACCACGCCCAGCTAATTTTTAATTGTTTTGTAAAGACGGGGTCTCGCCATATTGCCCAGGTTAGTCTTGAACTGGCTTCAAGCTATCTGCCTGCCTCGGCCTCCCAGAGTACATTTGTGGTTTGTTTTGTTTTTACAAGGAAGACACCAGGTGGCTCTGAGCAGCTGGGAGGCCGGGGACTGCTCAGGATCAAATGGGTGCAGGAGATCCCATCTGTGGGGCTCCTTCTGCCCAGGACTCACGAGTGGGCCGGGCTTGGTGGGTTCCCCCTTCTCTCCCTTGTCGGGGGTGCAGGCCTGTCCGGGTCCTCAGCAAAGGCCACCTTCTCAGCCCCTAGCAGCACCTGCATGATGAGGACATCTCATTATCTACCTGGAGACCCAATTACTCTCCCAGCTACTCGGGAGGCTGAGGCAGGATAATCGCTTGAACCCGGGAGGCGGAGGTTGCAGTGAGTCAAGATAGCATGCCACTGTACTCCAGCCTGGGTGACAGAGCAAGACTCCATCTCAAAAATAAGTAAAAATGAAATAGTAAATTAATTTCATCCTTTTTCTTTTTTCTTTTTTTTTTTGAGACAAAGTCTCACTCTTGTCCCCCAGGATGGAGTGCAATGGCACAATCTCGGCTCACTGCAACCTCCGCCTCCGGGTTCAAGCGATTCTCTTGCCTCAGCCTCTGGAGTAGCTGGGACTACAGGCGTTTGCCACCATGCCCGGCTGATTTTTGTGTTTTTAGTAGAGATAGGGTTTCACCACATTGGCTAGGCTGGTCTTGAACTCCTGACCTCAGGTGATCCTCCCGCCTTGGCCTCCCAAAGTGCTGGGATTATAGGCATGGGCCGCCGCGCCCGGCCCTTTTTCTTTTTTTTTTAAATTTCACTTCTTTTTTCAATCCCCCCCAATTTTTTTTTTTTTTTTAAGCTCTTAGAGATAGCGTCTCACCATGTTGCCCAGGCCGGAGTGCAGTGGCACGATCATAGCTCACTGCAACTTCGAACCCCTAGGCTCAAGCAATCCTCCTGCCTCAGCCTCCTGTGTCGCTGGGACTACAGGTGCATGCCACCATACCTGGCTAATTTTTTACTTTTGTGGAGAAGGGGTTTCACTATGTTGCCCAGGCTGGTCTTGAACTCCTGGGCTCAAGCGATCTTCCTGCCTCAGCCCCCGCCCTAACAAAATGCTGGGATTACAGGGATGAACCACTGTGCCCGGCCCTCCTTTTACTTTTTTAATATGACTACTAAAAATGAAAAATTCCACACGTGGCCTGCATCATCTTCCTGGTGGAGAGTGCTGCCTGAGAGTTCTCATTTTGCACTTCCTAGTGACCTAGTGATTGACTTTACACCTAGTCACCTCGTGACGGGAAACCCTCTGTTGAAACAGCAGTGTCCTTGCCCCACTGGAACTCAGACCAGGTGGAAATGCTGAGTTCACACTCATAGCCAAGCTGCCTCTCACACCAGATGGAGGAACTGAAAGTTACACTCTTGGGGGTTATTTTGGATTAAAAGCAAGAAGATTTTTGTGGAGGCGCCACAAAAGCCTGAAGTGTACCCGGTGGGCAGGACCCTCCACAGGCACCTCCACGCCCCACTCCTGCCTCTTGTCCGTAATCCCAGCACTTTGGGAGGCTGAGGCGGGCAGATCACTTGAGGTCAGGAGTTCGAGACCAGCCTGGCCAATATGGTGAAACCCCATGTCTACTAAAATAATACAAAAATTAGCTGGGTGTGGGGGCGTGTACCTGTAATCCCAGCTACCCGGGAGGCAGAGGTTGCAGTGAGCTGAGATCCTGTCACTGGTCTCTAGCCTGGGCGACAGAGCGAGACTCCGTCTCAAAAAAAAAAAAAAAAAGCAGAAACAAAAACAAAAAAGAACCCCCAACAACTCTGTGCCTGAAGGGGCCTTCAGAGTGTTAAGCAGGACACGGAGGGCAGGGGGGCGAGCTGAGGTGCAGGAGTCACGGGAGACCCTCACCAGAACCCGCTACTCCTGCAGCGACGTCTGGGCAGAAGAAAATCCTAAAACAAAACCCCCAAGAACGTGCACGCCAGTCACTGCTCATCTTGGACACGTTTATTGCTAGAATCAGGTCTTAAGTTCTAAAGCAGGTCAGAAATATCCTGTGGTGAGGAAACGTTGTAATCATCGTAAACATAATTAGCAGGTGACTAAGATCACGATCACGACTGACAAAGACGTGTGCAGATCCCATGAAAATACGAACATGTGCTCGACTGTCAACTTTACAAATAAAATCGGGCTCCAACCCAAGAGTGGCCGAGGGGCACTGGTGAGGGAAGGGCTGTCAATGCCGCCGCCCCATGCCTAGCACAACTGAGACCCCTCGGCCATGTGGCGGGGACGCAGGGTTCCCACCGAGTGGCCGAGCAGAAATTCCTTGAACTTCTCCCCCATCCAAGGAATTGTGGCATCTCGGAGGGCTGGACCGGCACATGCCGGCTCAGGAGGGTGCGAGGGTCTGGGAATGTTCTCTTCACAACAGAACAGGAATGTACAGTCAGCTTTTGTAAAGTGCTCTGATACTCAGTACAAAAATACAAAACACTGATGATAAACATGGCACACATGGGATCCGACGGGGGGCAGAGAGCGTCGCTGATGGCCAACGGCTGGGCTGGGTGGAGTCGAGGTCGTCGGAGGGGCCAGGCGTCTTGGGACGCCTGGCCACTCACTGTGTTCTCAGGACCTTGTCACCAATGGGCTGTATGGCTGTGGGGCTCTGGTCCTAGTTGGCACCAGCTCCTGCCCCGTCCCCTCCTGAGCCCACAGCACCCAGTGGGCGCCTCTGCCCAGGGGAGCACTTCCTGATGGAGTTTCCCATCCCCTGTGCCCGTCTGTCCCCGAGTGGCGGGAATGTCCCTATTCACTGTATTCAGGGTCACAGGAGCGCCTCTGCCAGCACAGTGGGAGAAGGGCTGAATCCCCCCGGGATCTGCGGTTCCCAGGACCCTGGGTTCCGGAGAAGGACTTGGCCCTGGCGGGGGCTCACGTGTACCCCACTGGGAACAAGGATGACCAGCCAGGACCCAGTCCTGCCACTAATGCTTGGGGTGCAGAACAAGGCTTGAAATGTGTCCCGTTCTCCACCAGAGCTGGATCATGGCTGGATCTCACCGTCCCGGGATCGCCACCATGGGACGTCCCAGCACCTTTGACACTGCCCAACACTCCTTCCTCCATCCTCCAAGGGAGGGGCCATGAGCTGCAACAGCTCACTACAAGCGAGGGGCCCGCACAGCGGCCACTTGGCCACTCGCTGCAACGTCTCTAGGTGCTTCCTCCGCACGTCCTGGGATGTGGCACTCTCGACAGTCTGTGACGTGCCAGCCCTGCCTGGAAGGTGGGATGCCAGCCCCAAGAGCTCATTTCTCGGGGGCTGAGGACCCTGTGTCCGGGGTGTGTATGCGCCCTGGCTGAAGCTAGAGACCCGGCTGCCCAGACAGATGTAGCGTGTGAACAGCAATGGGTGACCTCGGGAAGCAGAGTTTGGGAAACAGCTGGTTTCAAAACCAATGCCAAGTAAAAAGGGGCAAAGGTCAGCCCCTTTCACAGTGGGCTTCCAAACCCACAGAACTGCCGGGAGGGCCACTGATGTCCCCTCAGTGGGCCCTGCCCCGTGGCCCTCTCTGCCCATGCCCCCGTGCCTGGCTTATTCCCTGGCCCTGAGGTTCACAGTGAACCTGCGTGAGTCTCTGCTTGGGAAGTGGATTCTGCCTGATTCTGGGGACAGATGCTGCCGACGCCACCTGGCTCCTCCTGGTGCCCTAACCCCTGACTCCAGTGTTGCGTGGTGGCCGTGGAGCGTGGCCCCGGCCGGCAGCTCCTTCTCAGAGCGAGGTCTGTCCTGTCCTCGGCTCCGTGCAGAGCCGGCGCCGTTCCTCACTGCCTCAGAAAAACAGCACGCAGTGGGTCTCCCCGCCGCCAGCATGGGGCGCTATGATTTCAGACAGCTCCCTGGTTTAGTCCTGGCTCAACTTTCCATTAAAAACTTTCCTTTTTGGAAAAAAAAAAAAAAAAAAAAGAGGTTCAGAAAGTGACCCAGGCCACCACTGCTAATCCTACAGAAAGAGTTGCGAGGCCCAGAGCACCGACAGGCCAGCCCCTGCCAGGCGGTCATCGGTGGTTTGCTAGGGAAGAGGAGGGGACAGCTGGGTGGGCATGGTGACCCCATGGGGGTCCCCAGAGAGCAGGAAGGTTGGGCAGGGCAGGGAGGGGCCTTGCACCTTGAGTCACGGCCCTTTTAGAAGAAGATGACGTCTTCCTTGCTGGCGTCCTCTTTGGCG